CCTTACCCTTGTTTTGAAAACTACGAAGCACATTTCAAGCTTACTACAAAACAATTAAGCACATATGAGTTTGAATGAAGTGAGTTCTTCAAAGCAACTCCGGAAATAATGTTTAAATAAAGCAGCCATTAATTATTCCTGTCCTTTCTACTCAAAGGACTCTTCAAGTACCCCTTTACACGTGAATAGTAAATGATATATCTTTTGAGTAGGCCGCAAACAAGCAGTGCTCATAAACATTATTTTGTTTATTATAATTGGTAGTAAAATTTAAGTTTGATTGTATATCAACCAGCTTTCATTCTGAAATGATCACAATTAATTGTGGTTTCATCGACTGAAGCTATTCAATTCCCACCTTTCGTCATTGCCCAAACATTAAGTTACAATATTCTAGTTCATAATTTAAAACAATCAAGTAGAGTTATTGGGTTTGAAATTAGCTTTAAAAAATTAAATTCCCACAAACCGCATGCACTTCTACTTTAACCTGAGTCATGAAATCCCAATAGGATGTATCAGCGCAATTTTTTGTGGTAAAGAGCCCCACCCCCTCCCACTCCCTCCCTCCCTCCCTCCGCCCATGAAATACAATTCTTTGTTTGAGTAAATAATATCTACCTTCGTGTTGGCCCCCGGAATCCGCAATGTTACTAAAAGTCCCCAGTAGTTTTAGAAGCTAAGCGTAACCATGACATTGTTTCGCTCTCCCACATAGAGCTGAGTTCTAATTTACTTGAAAAGGAAAAAGAGAAAACGCTTAAGAAAAGTGTTCACATTTTTAAACAAAGGAAAATAATTGACTTAAAATCCTGTAGGTTCTAAAGCATATTTTGAGCAAATTGATTGGCTCAGCTTCCACTTCCTATGCCTTACCTTCTCCCACCGATACATACTCATTCGTGAATGCCATTTTCTTCTCAGGATTTGCCAACTAAGTTGGGAATAACTTGGGTGGCTGGGCCGATTTAAGTAGAAAGATAGGCTGCCGTTTTTTGTGGTACCTTTTCTAATATTTCGGCGACAATAATTTGAGATTTAATGCTGAATGCTAATATTGAACACAATGAAAATGGCTGAACAGATCATTAGGATTTGCGAAGAAGAAAGACCAAACTTAATGTTGACATTTATTTTTCTTCAGATTGGATAAATCAATATCTGCACAATTTGTACAAGGCTAATAATAAGCAAGCCTTCTACAATGAAACGGGTTGAACAGTTGCATATTTCAATGTGGTCGCAAATTATATCCTTGAAATTGCAATTCGACTCTCAGTGGCTGGAAAATATCAGCCTGGTTTATCGCTCCAACATCGGTATAATATTCCACCAGCTTAGACAATGAAAACAAGTGATTTTTGAACAGAAGGCGCATTGTTTTGGATGAAGCACGTTAAGGTCAAGCGTTCCCATAAGCATCAATCTCATCAAGAGTTATTGGAAGTAAGAGACATAAGAAGCACTCATTACCAAGTGCACGAAATAGTAACCCTTGAAAGGCTTCCACTAAACATCGTGCCAAAAACTCCCATTCTACTGTGTGCAAACTTTCAACTACAAAATTTGGTGCATTTTAAACCTAAAGTTCCAAATGCTTTATTTTAGTACTTTTAATATACATTTATTTCAAATGGCAGGCTTTATGTTAGTTATCATCGGCCCTTTAGCTGACTTCGAGCTTCGTAGAGGGGAGGAACATTAAAGTCACAAAAGGTGGAGAGGGGAACAGAAGAGCGATTCACAGATGTAAAAGAGACAGACAGACAGACACAACGGCAGAGAAAATTTAAGATGAGTACTGTGGAAGTGGTCGAAAAAGACATATAGTAGAGTCATGGTAGTTTGAAGTCAAAGTCAACTGTCGGTTTATAGACTTTTTTGTGATTTGAGTATAGGATAACCACGTGGAGGTAAATCTATCATACACCCCGTACTTTTAACATTTAAATATATAGTTCCATGAACAATTGCATACTTTCATTATTGCGATTAAAGTAATTGGATAATTAGATGCATAAAAATGAAGCCTTTAAGCAATAGTAACATATTTAAATAAATTAGGTTTTAGAAATTTCGGCATTGATTGAATGTATAAAGTTGGATGAGGATGATACAAAGTGCTTGGGATAAATTTGGCTGTTTTACCAAGGAAAGAATATTAGTTAGTAACAACGAAATTTAGTCAACGTAATAGAGATTCGGTGGCATATAATTGTCAAAGAGTTGTAGATAAAATTGCCACCATTAGCATCTACTACAGCCCCAACCGGGATCTGACCTGACCCCGGAAACTGGTGAAGTGTTTTCGCACTTTTCATGGCAGAAGTCTCAGAAGGGGTCTTTGTTCTGTCCAATAACGAGTTGGCTTTTGCTATTATGGAACGTGATTAATACTCAGCGCCCAATACATAAATGATGGACCATTGGATCAAGATCTGGGGGGGGGGTGGAGGGAGCTGGGAGGCCAAAGATAAGGATTGGTGAAGTCTTAAAAATGGGCTTAAAACTATTTTTGAGGTCTGGTAGGGACCGAATATTGTCACTGTCATACATATCTCCTATTATTTGCTATCATCCTCAACCAAGGTTTAACTATTCAGCACTTCCACAAATGAAGCTAAATTCAAGTAAGCCGCACTTGAAAGAAATTGCGTGAGAGGTCACACATCCGATGACCATGACAGTTTGAAAATTTGGTCTGCATGACACTAGGAGTGTTCTTTGAATTATATGCAAGCCTAGTCACCTGTCATTCTGGGTTTTGTTCTTATGGCCTTAGTAAAACTTCTTTTTGTCATAAAAGAAGCAGATTATTAGCGCTTTAGGAGACGATTTTGCATTGCTCTGAAGTTTCCACACAATTGTCAGACGATTTTCGACGACATTTTCCCTGGGAGGCTGACCTCTACGACGCCAGTATAAGTTTGTGGTAGTGAAGACCTCTATTGAGTTCAATCCACCGGGTAAAAGTTGAGGCAGTCAACCAACTGTGGCGACAATGCAGTGGGAGAGAGCTATTACATCACCACGACAGTTTGGCCAATTAAGTCCATGTAACATTGTATTAACTTTCAGCCAAGTACTTATGGTCTTAACGAAAATTCTTCCCATCAATGTGTGTGCTAAAGCAGGCGCCAACACTACCCAGAAATCTCTTCGTACACTACCAGATGAATTTCACTGATGCTGGTAAGAGGTTACAGAAGCAAATGCC